ATGAATCAAAAACTACAAGACTGGGTGTTGAAATGAGAGATTGAAGGGGACCCCTTCCGGTTTGCGGCTCGGGGTCCTCGTCGATGAGAGACAAGTACACCCCTGCCTCAACCCGCAGAGGAGGGTTGGGGGCACCATCCATGCTGCGCTGGCACGGCCGATTCCATAACGTTCTGGATGGTTCTGCTGAGATGCTCCTGTCTGGCAGCGCATGCCAACCTGATTGGGCCGCACGGCAGGTTTTGCATCAGCGCTGGCACGTGCGTTGCACCGGGACGGGTTTTGTGCGGCAAGTTTCGCCGTCATTCCATGCACGACCCCGTGCGCATGGTATAGTGTTGTATTCGCCTTGTTGAGGGCTTCAGAATGATACCTTTTACCGTGAAATTCAGTTTTGCCTTTATAAAAGCGCCGGCGCTTATGGCCGTTACTCAATTACAAGCGCCCCCCCTAAAAAAAATGAATTTATTATAAGCGCATATGCGCTACTATCCGGGGTATGACGGTAGTTCCGATCATTCCGCTGTTCTACTCTTGAAAACATGCATCACTAATGATCTATATTGTGCATCACTCTACTATCAACCCATGGCAATATTCTGACTAAGTCCCCTGTGGGATTGTAACAGCACATTATCCTCGTAAAGAGGATGCACCACACTATCGTAGTACACTTATGTAGAGTATGCGAGAGTGGGAATGTTGAAAGTCAATAGTTGAGAATCAACTGCATCAATTGTTGACTGACCCAAGCAGAGCTAACGCTTTTTACATGGTAACCGCTGAGCATATGCCTAGTCACTGCTACTGTATCTGTCGAGCTCGTTGTCTGTTGTACACGGTGGAATCATAGTAAGGATTTTGAAAATCTCCTTACAATTTCATTGATTTTATAAGTGCATGTATTCACATATATTCATTACAGGCCCTTATCCAGTATTTCCATCTTGAAGGGTCAAGCTCTCTTTGTTTCCCTCTTGACTGCCACCCGGCGTACATGTATTGGTTGAACGTCCGCAGCCCAAAATGCGACTCGATTTCCCCGAGCCGCTCCCAGCCATCCTCTTCTCCCGACCCTGTTGTGTGGTGTTTACGAACGACTTGTTGCATTGCATTGAATTCGTTTGCGTACGTGCAAAGAAAGGTCTCCCTGAACACTGTTCCCACAGCCTTGTTTTCCGTCTGGCTGAAATATTGCAAGAATTCCGCACGGGAGTCTGATCTTCAAGATCTTCCGACCCATCCCGACTGCGCTTCGGTTCTTCCAGACCTTTCCTTTCCGTATGGTCACGACTGACCGTGTACCCAGACCACCCAGACTGTGATCAGCGCATCGCTCGTTGAACATATAACGTCTGTAAATAATCGTGTGAATCATCTCCTAATTCCACCAGAGTCTCTCAATTGTTGCATAGTCTCCCCACTGCCAGCTTGTGACCCTTCTTGAGACTTCGCGAACATGGCTCGAGCTTGTGAGCTCGTGCTGCTTGCCGCCGTCGCCTTCCTCCTCACGAGCACGGCGACGGCCTTCACGACGCCATCGTGCATCAAAGAGGCGCAGCATCTGGTCCAAGTGTTGGACAAGCAGCCCACTGTTTACAGCTCCATTTCGACCGAACTCAAGAAGCTTATCAAGGCTGTTAGTAAGTAGTACCCGCCTCTCCCGTTTTTACTACTTAGCTGCATGTCAACGCTGAGATTCGATTCACATTGCCCACGCTGACGCCCGCCCTCGGCTTTTTCTTCGCAGAGGGGGGTTACGATGTCAGCGAATTCTACGACAGCACGCTGCTGCTGCCAACCAACCAAGCTCTCGCCGCGGCGAAAATTAACCCAGCCAAGATAAAAAACAACCCGAATCTCTACCGAATCCACATTTTCGACGGCCAGCTCGACATCATGGCCGTGGGTGACGTGCAGATGACCGCTCAGCCCGGCGTGAGCGTGAAGGTTTTCAAGGCGCTCCCGAGCGTGTCGCCCATGAAGATGGCGGTTCGCCTAGTCAAGTCGAAGAAGCCGCCCGTTCCGGTTCTGGCGCGTCTGCACACGGGCTCGGGGAACTGCTTCGAGGCGTACGGCATCGGCGGTGTGCTGTCCTAGAAGTATCCATGCTTTGCCCATTCGTTGCAGCTATTCTCTATTGTCCGTGGCGTTTCCAGTTGTTGAAAAGTTTGTCCGTGCATGTGAGCATTGAAATAATGCACAGATTCTGCGGAGTGCACGGTTCTGGTAATGCGCGAGCTTGTGGCCCCAAAACGCAAATAGCATGGTGGAAGGAGATTGGCAAAAACTGCCGCACAAGCCTCTATTCTAGACAAGAGAACTCGTTTCGTTATCCTGAAGGCACTCTGTAAACGGAAATATTGACACATCCAATCTGCACATTAGTTCAACATCAATTACACCACCACATGGTCAGAGGACATGGCCTGTTCTCACATGATCAGAGTAATGTAACGAAATTGGAAGAAACAGTCACATGCTAAGGTAGGTGCCACTGTTGCACCGGATGGAGCACTGAGTGTTGTGCAGCATGGCATGGCATGCTGTTGTTGAGCCACGGCTGATCAGTGGTACTTCTGTGTGTGGCAGCGCGAGATGAAGGACGGAATGGCACGCTTCCTGCGCCTCGGGGTGCCAACACCAGCCTCGCTGTCACTCGCATGCCCGCTCCTACGCCTACCACCACCCTCACTATCACTCGCATGGCCGCTCCCACGCCTCCCACTCTCCTCCCCATCACTCGCCACCGTGGCAACCGCCCGATCCACTATTGCCCCTCCACTCTCACCACTGCCACTCACCCCCGCTCCGCCGTTCACATTCGCAACCCCACCATCTTCCCACACTGAACCCTCCTCCTCGTCGTCCTCGTCGTCCTCGTCGCTGCTGTCGCTGTCATCGTTGTCCCACTCCTCCATCTGCTGCTTCTCAAACGAGTGGGGCAGCAGGTCCTTGCGCGTCAGCACGCCCACCACCTGCATGCGCTCGCGCACCACGCACAGGTGGCGCAGCCCCATTCGCCGGAAGACGGCGTACGCCTTGCGCAGGCTCATGGCCTCGCCCACCACGTGGGGGGAGGTGTTGCAGAAGGGGTGCAGGTCCAGGAACATCTCCTGCTCCTCTGCACTCAGATCAATATCCTCGATACAAGGCGTCTTCTTAACGTTCACTATCGCGGTCGCCGTGCGGTGCTTGTGGGACAGAGATTTCGCCTGTATTCGCTCGGGTGTCTGCCCTTCCGCATAGCCACCTTCAGCTGTGCCACGTGGCATCTCCCCATTGGCTGCCTCTGGACTGCTCGGCACACCCTCAAACCGCACGGTGCGGTGGGTAGCAGGTCGAGGTTCCGGCACAGCACCAGCTGCAGCTGCAGCTGCAGCGTTGGTAGAAAGAGGAAGCTTATAAAGGGGCTTGAAACGAGCGGTGCAGAGAGTGCCGTGTTGGAAGGTGGACTTATCAGCCAGCAGCTTGAGCAGCTTGGAGCGCAGCACCATGCCATACAGCACCGCCTGCACCTCCCCCTCCCCCTCACCTCCCCCTTCCTCCTCCCTCTCTCCCAGCTTCCCCCCCTCCCCCACAACCACAATCTGCACGACAGGAAAGGCGGAGTGGGTGGTGGTCTGCAGGACTCGCAGCACCTCCCCCACGCGCTCCACGCTCTTCAGCACTACAGCCGGGCCGCGCACGCCGTCTATAGCTGTTAAATTCTTCATGAACTCGGGAGGGGGGTATTCCAGCATGGGCAGGCGTTTTAAGTGGCTCGCCTCATCAACCACCCCTTCGTTGAAACAGTCCCCCACCTCCTTGGCGATGGTTGTTGCTAGCATGATCAGCGGCAGGAGGAGAAGGTTCCCGGTAACTTCTAGAAGCATGACGGAGAGGGAGACAGACATGCGCATGGAGCCGCCCAATAGGGACGCGGCGCCGAGCAGCGCGTACGTGCCCTCGTCCAATCCCGTGTCAGAACCAGATTCTCCGAACAAGAGTAACCCGGCAGACCGAAGGGGAGAGGTGAGGGAGGGGAGGAGGAACGATGTGAGAGTGGGGGAGGTGGAGGAGGTGAGTGAGCCCATGAGCTTGCCCATCATGCGGCCGTACGTGCCGCCCGCCACTATGAGTGGGACGAAAAGGCCGGCCGGCACGGAGCAGCCGTTAGTGATGATGGCGAGCGAGAAGAAGACGAGGAAGAAGATCGCGAGCGTGGCGTGGCTGCGGTCGGATGGGGGGTGGGAAGAAAGTTGGGAAGGGGAGTGAGGAGGCAGTGAGAGGGGGAAAAAAGAGAAGGAAGAAGAAGGCGAGTGTGTGTGGCTGTGATTGGGGGGGTGCGGAAAGCAGATGGGGAACGGTCATTGATAAAGGCTTGCAAGCTGGGGATGAACAGTTGAACAGACGCACAAAGGACAAGGAGCGGGAGAACACTGAGTGGTGGATAGAAAGTGTGAAGTGGCGAATAGGATGGGGAAAGAGGGAGATGTGATACGAAAGAGGGAGATGTGATACGAAAGAGGGAGATGTGATACGAAAGAGGGAGATGTGATACGAAAGAGGGAGATGTGATACGAAAGAGGGAGATGTGATACGAAAGAGGGAGATGTGATACGAAAGAGGGAGATGTGATACGAAAGAGGGAGATGTGATACGAAAGAATCAGAATGTACGAGGCAGCTGGTGGAATGAATGAAAGCACAGCGAGTGGCAGGTGTGAGTGCAGCGGGAACTCAGCAGGCAAGCTGGAAATGAGGTTGGTGAGATAGCGTTGCCATGGTGGTGGCCGGGCACCAGTCCTGCCACTTTTGAGCATTCTCACACGTGTAACACTCAGATAGAGTGCAACATGCACGTGTACTGGGCGGGCGAGCTGGAGAAGAGGTTGGTGATAGTGTTGTGATTGGTGGTGGACGCCAGCCCAGCCACTTGTAGGAATTCTCACAAGGGAGGGACTCACATATAGAGCAGACTCAGAAACGGCTGAGACACAGATATACTTCAAGACTCACGTGTACTGGGCGGGCGAGCTGGAGAAGAGGTTGGTGATGGCGTTATCGTTTGTGGTGGGCGCCAGCCCAGCCATCGGGTTGTAGCTGCCCGCCGGGCAGGTGAAAGCTATGTAGTTGCCGTTCAGGCTGGGGTCCGGGCAGACCTCGTTTTCCGGGCAGGGCAGGCAGCGCGAGGCGAAGGGGAGAGCCATGCGGGCGAGGGAGGTGAGGATGGCGATGAGTGCTGCTTCTAGCACCTTGCACCATGGACCGTACCTGTGTTGGTGGGGGGGGAGCAGGGGGGAAAGGGGAAAGGGGGGTGAGCAGACGTGTGAGCAGACGTGTGAGAATCAGAGCATGGCATGAGAGGGAGAGTGTACAGATGGACAGCGCCATTTGTGGAGAGCACAAATAGACTCACTAATCGACTCACGGGTTGCCTCACGGGTTGCCTCACGGATTGCCTCACGAGTTGCCTCACGGGTTGCCTCACGGGTTGCCTCACGGGTTGCCTCACGATTTGACTCATGGGTTGCCTCACAGTGGTTCGATCGAGAGTGTTGACTCACGGGTTGATGTATTTGGCGCGCAGCTTGGTGAGGCGCGCGACAGCGGTGTTGAAGAGCGCCCCCACGAGGCCCCCTGTGATGCCCAGCACCAGTACCGGTAGCAACTCCCTCAACCCAAAGTCGCTCTCCCTCTGATGCCATGCCATGCCATGCATGGGGTTCATGCACACACGGGGATGGAGATGGAGGAAATTGCTTGTGATTTAAAACAGATGTCCTGCACCAGCGCCCGCACTCGTAGCAGCTCCCTCAGCCCAACGTCACTCTCCCTCTGATGCCATGCCAGGCATGAAGATGGGGAGGAGGCAGATGGGAAAGGTGGTGACAAGTGAAGAAAAGAAGATGGCAGCAAGGAGGGGATTTGGAGGTGGAGTTGCATCGATCAAGGGCATGTGTAGAGAGCACCGGCAGCAGCTCCGTCAGCTCAGCCCAGCCCACGCTGATGCGAGGCACTGGGATGGAGGGAGTTGGTTGTGGGTGGGAGGCTCTCACTGGGAGCAACAAGGGGCGGGCAGAGAGACAGATGGCGGCATGAAGGAGACGTCTGAAACCACTTCTTTTATAACGAGACCTGGAGTTGGCATTCTAAGTTGGACTGATCAGGCGGCATGCGGCGCCTTTATGGTGGCCTTGATTGTCTGGCCGAGTGCATGGCAGCGTGTAACCGCTGCCATGGCGTGGTGACACCACCACTTTCTTGACACCCACAATGGAGATAACTGGTTGCAATATGGATGCGATGTTTCCATTGCACCACACCCACACCACGCTCATGCCACACTGACGCCCAGCTGACCTGGGCATCAAGGAGAATGGAAAACCCCCATCGCTGCACAGCCCGCAGCGCCCCTTCAGGCACGCCCATGGTGGCATCATGGCAGGTGCATGGTGGTAGGTGCATGGTGGCAGATGCATGGTAGCAGGTGCATGGTGGTAGGTGCACGGTGGCAGGTGCATGGTGGCAGGTGCATGGTGGTAGGTGCATGGTGGCAGGTGCATGGTGGTAGGTGCATGGTGGTAGGTGCATGGTGGCAGATGCATGGTAGCAGGTGCATGGTGGCAGGTGCATGGTGGTAGGTGCATGGTGGTAGGTGCATGGTGGTAGGTGCATGGTGGTAGGTGCATGATGGTAGGTGCATGGTGGTAGGTGCATGGTGGCAGATGCATGGTAGCAGGTGCATGGTGGTAGGTGCATGGTGGCAGGTGCATGGTGGCAGGTGCATGGTGGTCGGTGCATGGTGGCAGGTGCATGGTGGTAGGTGCATGGTGGCAGATGCATGGTAGCAGGTGCATGGTGGTAGGTGCATGGTGGCAGGTGCATGGTGGCAGGTGCATGGTGGTAGGTGCATGGTGGCAGGTGCATGGTGGCAGGTGCATGGTGGCAGGTGCATGGTGGTCGGTGCATGGTGGCAGGTGCATGGTGGTAGGTGCATGGTGGCAGATGCATGGTAGCAGGTGCATGGTGGCAGGTGCATGGTGGTAGGTGCATGGTGGTAGGTGCATGGTGGTAGGTGCATGGTGGTAGGTGCATGATGGTAGGTGCATGGTGGTAGGTGCATGGTGGCAGATGCATGGTAGCAGGTGCATGGTGGTAGGTGCATGGTGGCAGGTGCATGGTGGTAGGTGCATGGTGGCAGGTGCATGGTGGCAGGTGCATGGTGGCAGGTGCATGGTGGTCGGTGCATGGTGGCAGGTGCATGGTGGCAGGTGCATGGTGGCAGGTGCATGGTGGCAGGTGCATGGTGGCAGGTGCATGGTGGTAGGTGCATGGTGGTAGGAGCATGGTGGTAGGTGCATGGTGGAAGGTGCATGGTGGTAGGTGCATGGTGGTAGGTGCATGGTGGCAGGTGCATGGTGGCAGGTGCATGGTGGTAGGTGCATGGTGGAAGGTGCATGGTGGTAGGTGCATGGTGGTAGGAGCATGGTGGTAGGTGCATGGTGGAAGGTGCATGGTGGTAGGTGCATGGTGGTAGGTGCATGGTGGCAGGTGCATGGTGGCAGGTGCATGGTGGTAGGTGCATGGTGGTAGGTGCATGGTGGCAGGTGCATGGTGGCAGGTGCATGGTGGTAGGTGCATGGTGGTAGGTGCATGGTGGCAGGTGCATGGTGGCAGGTGCATGGTGGCAGGTGCATGGTGGTAGGTGCATGGTGGCAGGTGCATGGTGGCAGGTGCATGGTGGCAGGTGCATGGTGGCAGGTGCATGGTGGTAGGAGCATGGTGGTAGGTGCATGGTGGAAGGTGCATGGTGGTAGGTGCATGGTGGTAGGTGCATGGTGGTAGGTGCATGGTGGCAGGTGCATGGTGGTAGGTGCATGATGGTAGGAGCATGGTGGTAGGTGCATGGTGGAAGGTGCATGGTGGCAGGTGCATGGTGGTAGGTGCATGGTGGTAGGTGCATGGTGGCAGGTGCATGGTGGTAGGTGCATGATGGTAGGTGCATGGTGGCAGATGCATGGTGGCAGGTGCATGGTGGTAGGAGCATGGTGGTAGGTGCATGGTGGAAGGTGCATGGTGGTAGGTGCATGGTGGTAGGTGCATGGTGGTAGGTGCATGGTGGCAGGTGCATGGTGGCAGGTGCATGGTGGTAGGTGCATGGTGGTAGGTGCATGGTGGCAGGTGCATGGTGGCAGGTGCATGGTGGTAGGAGCATGGTGGTAGGTGCATGGTGGAAGGTGCATGGTGGTAGGTGCATGGTGGCAGGTGCATGGTGGTAGGTGCATGGTGGCAGGTGCATGGTGGTAGGTGCATGGTGGCAGGTGCATGGTGGCAGGTGCATGGTGGCAGGTGCATGGTGGCAGGTGCATGGTGGTAGGTGCATGGTGGCAGGTGCATGGTGGTAGGTGCATGGTGGCAGCTGCATGGTGGTAGGTGCATGGTGGTAGGTGCATGGTGGGTAGGTGCATGGTGGCAGGTGCATGGTGGCAGGTGCATGGTGGTAGGTGCATGGTGGTAGGTGCATGGTGGCAGGTGCATGGTGGTAGGTGCATGGTGGCAGGTGCATGGTGGCAGGTGCATGGTGGTCGGTGCATGGTGGCAGGTGCATGGTGGTAGGTGCATGGTGGCAGATGCATGGTAGCAGGTGCATGGTGGTAGGTGCATGGTGGCAGGTGCATGGTGGTAGGTGCATGGTGGTAGGTGCATGGTGGTAGGTGCATGGTGGGTAGGTGCATGGTGGTAGGTGCATGGTGGCAGGTGCATGGTGGCAGGTGCATGGTGGCAGGTGCATGGTGGCAGGTGCATGGTGGCAGGTGCATGGTGGCAGGTGCATGGTGGTAGGTGCATGGTGGCAGGTGCATGGTGGTAGGTGCATGGTGGCAGATGCATGGTGGTAGGTGCATGGTGGTAGGTGCATGGTGGGTAGGTGCATGGTGGCAGGTGCATGGTGGCAGGTGCATGGTGGTAGGTGCATGGTGGTAGGTGCATGGTGGCAGGTGCATGGTGGTAGGTGCATGGTGGTAGGTGCATGGTGGCAGATGCATGGTAGCAGGTGCATGGTGGTAGGTGCATGGTGGCAGGTGCATGGTGGTAGGTGCATGGTGGTAGGTGCATGGTGGCAGGTGCATGGTGGCAGGTGCATGGTGGAAGGTGCATGGTGGCAGGTGCATGGTGGCAGGTGCATGGTGGTAGGTGCATGGTGGTAGGTGCATGGTGGCAGGTGCATGGTGGTAGGTGCATGGTGGTAGGTGCATGGTGGCAGATGCATGGTAGCAGGTGCATGGTGGTAGGTGCATGGTGGCAGGTGCATGGTGGTAGGTGCATGGTGGTAGGTGCATGGTGGCAGGTGCATGGTGGTAGGTGCATGGTGGTAGGTGCATGGTGGCAGGTGCATGGTGGCAGGTGCATGGTGGTAGGTGCATGGTGGTAGGTGCATGGTGGTACGTGCATGGTGGCAGGTGCATGGTGGTAGGTGCATGGTGGTAGGTGCATGGTGGTAGGTGCATGGTGGCAGGTGCATGGTGGGTAGGTGCATGGTGGTAGGTGCATGGTGGCAGGTGCATGGTGGTACGTGCATGGTGGTAGGTGCATGGTGGCAGGTGCATGGTGGTACGTGCATGGTGGTAGGTGCATGGTGGTAGGTGCATGGTGGTAGGTGCATGGTGGTAGGTGCATGGTGGTAGGTGCATGGTGGTAGGTGCATGGTGGTAGGTGCATGGTGGCAGATGCATGGTAGCAGGTGCATGGTGGTAGGTGCATGGTGGCAGGTGCATGGTGGTAGGTGCATGGTGGTAGGTGCATGGTGGCAGGTGCATGGTGGCAGGTGCATGGTGGTAGGTGCATGGTGGCAGGTGCATGGTGGCAGGTGCATGGTGGCAGGTGCATGGTGGCAGGTGCATGGTGGTAGGTGCATGGTGGTAGGTGCATGGTGGTACGTGCATGGTGGCAGGTGCATGGTGGTAGGTGCATGGTGGTAGGTGCATGGTGGTAGGTGCATGGTGGCAGGTGCATGGTGGGTAGGTGCATGGTGGTAGGTGCATGGTGGTAGGTGCATGGTGGCAGGTGCATGGTGGTACGTGCATGGTGGTAGGTGCATGGTGGTAGGTGCATGGTGGTAGGTGCATGGTAGCAGTTGCATGGTGGCAGGTGCATGGTGGTAGGTGCATGGTGGCAGGTGCATGGTGGCAGGTGCATGGTGGTAGGTGCATGGTGGTAGGTGCATGGTGGGTAGGTGCATGGTGGTAGGTGCATGGTGGTACGTGCATGGTGGCAGGTGCATGGTGGTAGGTGCATGGTGGTAGGTGCATGGTGGCAGGTGCATGGTGGCAGGTGCATGGTGGTAGGTGCATGGTGGCAGGTGCATGGTGGTAGGTGCATGGTGGCAGGTGCATGGTGGCAGGTGCATGGTGGTAGGTGCATGGTGGGTAGGTGCATGGTGGTAGGTGCATGGTGGTACGTGCATGGTGGCAGGTGCATGGTGGTAGGTGCATGGTGGTAGGTGCATGGTGGCAGGTGCATGGTAGCAGTTGCATGGTGGCAGGTGCATGGTGGTAGGTGCATGGTGGCAGGTGCATGGTGGCAGGTGCATGGTGGTAGGTGCATGGTGGTAGGTGCATGGTGGGTAGGTGCATGGTGGTAGGTGCATGGTGGTACGTGCATGGTGGCAGGTGCATGGTGGCAGGTGCATGGTGGTAG